GCCGATACGCCGAAGTACCCAAAAGAGATGGGGTTTCCTATTTACCTGCCTCACGATTCGAGCAGTTCACATCGAGTTGGTTCCATCTCTCGATACTAGTTCCTGCGTCATGGGCGTAGAGCGATTTATTGCAAGGCGAGGTACCCCCAAAACCATTCTTTCTGACAATGGCACGAATTTTGTTGGTGCTCAAAAGGAGCTCCTATCCTGTGGAGCCCCGGCCGTTTTCGTCCACAAAGGCATTAAGTGGAAGTTTAACCCGCCCAGTGCCCCTCATCACGGTGGCGCCTGGGTGCGGCTAGTGAGAAGTGTTAAGCGAGTGTTGTACGACATATTAGGCAACAGGAGGTTAACTGAGGAAGTTCTAGGAACAACGCTCTGCCTAGTTGAACAATTACTTAACGCAAGACCGATCACTCCGGTCAGTTCCGATCCGCACGACCTAGAGGCACTCACCCCGAATCACTTCATTCTCGGTCACAGCGCAGCTAGCTTCGCGTCGCTAAGTTTCGAAGAAAACTTCGACCATAAGAAGAGGTTCGCCAGAGCGCAATCATACGCTAACGCAATATGGATACGGTGGATGCGGGAATACGTTCCTTCCCTCAATAGGAGGGCAAAGTGGCACAACCAGTCAGACGTTAAGTTGAAAGCCGGTGACTTGGTTTGGGTCTTAGAGCCTGACACTCCACGTGGACATTATCCACTCGCACGTATCCTAAGACTGCACTATGGCAAGGACGGATGCGCGCGATCCGCCGACATAAAGACCGTTACGAGCGAACTGACCCGCCCGACCGTAAAGCTCGCTCCCGTTCTTCCTTGTTTAGGGGTGGAGGATGTTGCAGCGCAAATATAAAACAATAGTACAAATGCATATAAACGTAAATGTGCGAGAGTATAAATGCATATAAAAGTAAATGCATACAGGGACAGTAGCCAAGCGTATACATGGTGCGTCCCGGCGGGTTCGGCGCCGGTTCGAATCCCGACTAGGTCATTTCCTTTCTGGAACTCGAATATGCACCGAACTTGATGGGATGCTCCGTAACCAGGTTCGATCCCCCCAAAACCGATTTTAACCGTCTTTTCGCTCTAACTTGGTTAAGCTTTGATTAAGGCTGACCTTTAAAAAGAGCAATTTGTCTCAAGGACAAATACTGGCCATTTTTTGCAGCTTGCTTTGAGTTATGCAGTTTTTGTGGCCGATGTTACCGATGTTAACAATAAAAAAGTTTGTTAAAAATATCATTGTATTACGAAATTTCCAGAGTTATTTCCCCGATAAAATACTCGTTAATTCAAGTGTTTGAAAACAGATTTTATTACGAAGTGTGGAGATTGGCGCGCACATCCAATATTTGAATTACTCAAAAATAATTTATCTACGGAGTATTGTACCTAAAATGAATAATGCATTTGCGATATGGTTTCGTTATTCTTGAAAAACTCCTTTTTTTCTCAATCCGTCTCTTTTAACATCTGCTTTTAACGAGGTGTTATATAATTATCTGATTGAAATTAGCTTTCATCGATATGGCGGATCACTTGTGGCTGCTCCTCAGCCGGGGATTCAAACTCTTGGGGGGTTTGAGGGGGTTCGATTTGCACTCCTCTTTCTTCCCTGTCTGGATTCGGGGGAGTGGGTTGATAAGTATCGGCTGTTTGCGTTGCTTCACTTTGTCTGCTCGAACATGGCGTATCGTTGTTGTCCTGAACAGATTTCTTGGGACCCTTTCCTGCGTGCTCGAAATATAGTTCGGAGTTCTGTTTGAATCTACTTTCGGTTTCTTGGAATGTCACAAAAAAAGCAGTCAATTCTTCGCTTTTCTTCATTAAATGATCAAAACCTGGTGAATTTTGTTCACAATCTGAGATAATGCCAGTTTTCAAACACTGCTCCATGTCTGTGATATCTTTTGACGTTCTAGCGCTGCTTTTCCGTTTTGAATTTTTCAAAAATTGCTGAAATTCGCGGCGTTTGTTTTTCACAGCATTTTCTTTTGAGTTTATTTCTTCGTGTTTTGCCTTCTTCCAACAGCGCACTTTGTGTCTGTCATGCTCCGTCGCCAAGCACCTTGGGCAAATTGGCACAGGCTGGCTGTCGTTGCCTTCTACACAATCTTCTTGCACGCACACCAAGATACAATCCAACCCGTGGTCCAGACATAATGAACTCAAGCTACAGGAAATTGCCTCAAAATCAGTCGGCATGTTTGTCACATTACCTTTCAGTTACCTGCAACAATTGAAAATTTTATCGAGGGGGGGTTGGATTTTCAAAAAAAATTTTGAAAATTTTGTCGATCATTTTTAGACCGATCAAATTGGTTTTCCGAGCTCTCCCAAAGCATTAAAAAAATCGTTTTGGTCAAGATTTCTGCGCCGTAGATGAAATTTTGAAAGAACATGCCAAAAAAGCATTTTAAGTCACTTTTTGGAAAATTTTGACCACAAAAATTGCGTTTTACGGCGCGCGAACACCCCTCAAAGTTATGGGGCATGTTTTGGTATAGTCTACCTAATTACATGCAGCTATTATATTTTTATCAACCAATACTTAAAAGAAAGCAGTAATTTTACTCACCTTATTCAAAATAAATATTTGACAGCATACATGCAAATGCAAATCAACGTTTGCGTGCCGCTGTATAACAGACCAACAATGACGAATTATATCATATACCATCTGAGCCAAAATGTCGACACGCGATTGAAATGCGGCTAGAAGAGTCTTTTATGCTGAACAAGAAATGTATATAACATTTTCTAATAACGACCGGTCTGCGAAAAACATGCGTTTTCTGAAGCTAGCTTTTTGTGGAATTGACAACAGTTTTCTGCGTATAAACCAATTCCTTTTAAAAATGAACAATTTTCTATTTGCTTTTTCTAAAGAAACAGCTGCAGTTTTAACATGGGAAGGGCCACAATTTTTTAACGACGCAGTTTTTCGCAAGCAAAACTGACATTTTTATAGGTCACCCAATTCGAATTTGATTAAAAATCTGACTCCAAAAGCTCGTATATATTGGCGCCAAAAGCACCTTAGGAAAAAGTTAGGATTGGTCTACCAGAAACAACCGACGTACAAGATTATCAAAAGTGAAACTTTAAAAAAAATTGTCAGTCAGAATGGATGATGGGATCCCACTGAAGTACTGAAGTGCAAAGTGATTGAAGTAAACACCCCCCCCCCCCCCCCCCCGCGCATTACTCCGTAGTTTTTCCTCCCTAGCATTTAATTTTGAATAAAAATGCTCAGCGCTGAGTGTAAACTGCTCGATTCTGATTGGCTAAAAAATCTAACTAAGAAAACATCCAACCAGCTAAATTGCACTAGATTGGAGAGGGTCTAGGACAACAAGCCGACGGGACTTCAAGCCGACGGGACTTCAAGCCGAAATTAAAACTTTACAAGCACCCCAAAACTCTATATTATCATCTGCAAAATGTTGCTTTTCTAAAATTTTGGCAAGTTTAGTCCATAGTAAGCGTTATTCATGACAATGCACCACTTGTGATTCGCATCCGTTAATAACATCAGCCGGTTTTTGAAATGCATAAATGCCGCAGGTGATTTAATTAAACGGGATGGTTTCTTAAGTCCACCGTTGTTTTAAAGCCAACATGTTCTTGCTAAATGTTTTGCTTAAATTGCCTATGTTTGGCCTAGTTGGCATTAGTATTCTCAAATTCTAATACTTCCGGTCAAGCCGACGGCTTTTTTCCTCCTCCTCCCCCCCCCCTCCCCCCTCACACGAGCATCAATTTTATGGTCTAACAAGGTGGTTTTACAAGGTTAATTATGGTGACCAAATATGTTTGTCATGGCCTTATTAATCTGCGTGTCAATATTCATGACAATCGGTCAATGTGAACAGTAACTTTAATCATAAAAGATTGCAGGTGGGGGAAAAGGAAAAAGAGCCCAGCCGACAGATTTTGGTCCAGAATATAACACATGATGCAGCTTGTCCTTAACTTTAATATCCCAAAATTTTCATTCCCTGCGTTCACTTGGGGGCGGTAACCAAATCGAAAGAAGGGCATTTTAAGCCTACATCTACTAAGTCTACAACAGACTAAGTTTTAGCTCTACTCCCCTTGCTATTTTTTTTAGTTTAATGAGGTGATTTCCGTTTCCAAGAACTGTTATCACTCAAGTCAGGGGCTTCGATTGGTCCGGATTTTTGCATGCCCAGGTTACATCATGTCTGGTTTAAGTCATGCGAGTTTCAGATAATTGGCGTTTTTAGCTCCAATTAAGTTGGCACTTTGGGAGGGGGGGGGGGGGGGGGGTGGAGGGAGGATGGGGGCAGACCGACTCCATGATTCCCTTATTTTCTCCGTTATCTAGGTGGCTCTAGATCTTTTGAGCTCCAGCTAGGCTTTTGAGCCTTCATACTTGTTTGCTATTCTACTTGGCTTTTTGGTTAATCGTTGGAACTAATTGTAGCGATATACAGTAAAATCACCAATTCGACAAGGACAAAAGGACAACACAAGGAAAAAACAGCGAGGGTGGTTAAAATTGCGTTTTGAGAATTTTGTTTCACTTAAACACAGAAGTCTTAATCTACGATTACTTTTGGATCACGAAGCTCATCTCAAAACTGTGTTCAACTGACGCTGTTACATAAAAATCCTCAGAAGAAATTTAGTCAAGGTTTACGACCAGGAAAATCAGTTTTTACAGAGCAATATCATTAAAACTGCACAACTGAGTGGCTGTTATCATGCAAAGTGTTTAAAATTGCTGAGTATTTTAAGTCATTGTAATCAGGGAAGGTCTAAGCTACCTTCGAAGCAACATTCTACCTTCGATAAAACTAGTATGATGTTTTGCCGCTCTGTTCAGCAAGGACACCTCAAAATTTAGTTTGATTTGGATGAAAAATATTGACCTCTTATTTGGTTAGTTTGTACGAGTTGTCATCCAAGATATCCGTTTTGAACTTTATATATTGAATGGCGCCATCAGTTATTTGCTACCTAAATTGAAGTGTACTTGAATTATCAAAGCAAAGTTTATTCTTAATTTCCATCCTCATATCAATTAGTTTTCTCGTCGAACAGCAATTGTGATGATTTTAATATATTTGTTCTCGTTTTTACAGTGCTGTTTCGGATCCCCGTTAATAAGCCAATTCCCGATGACGTCATCATCATCCGCACATAACTGGTGTCCACGGACAGTGAAGAGTGTTTGCTAGGAAATATTTAACTGTACGGCTATTTAAATGACAGAAATGATCACTTTAAATATCCCCCCCTCCCATTTTGCAATGGGTGGGGATTCATTTTAGGTGCAAAAATCACATATGCTTAACCGTTGAATTAGTTCATATATGGGAGGTAATTCGTAACTATAGAGGAAAAAAGGAAACATAAATAGTTAAAAAGATCCGACAGTTGCCAGCGTATAGCAAATCAATCTTTTTTGTTCCGACTTTTGAAGAAAACGGAATATTTATGCTCGGTGTGTATTTATGCTCGAATTTTCAACGATCGAAATAATAATTTTCACCAAAAGTTTTTTTAAACTTTATTGAAGATATCGACTTCCTGAGTTCAAATGTAAAAAGATGTTTCACCTCCGATAGTTTTTTGTAAAGTTCTGGGGGTTTGAAAATAGCCAAATTTCTGGGCTAAACTATGCGCGCTTTGAAGAAATTGTTCATAATGCTGAAAGCGTAACGCGAATTATTTATGTGTGGCGAATTATCCCGCTCAATAAAATCATTCCAAATTGAATTGAGGCTAGCTAATAGGTCGTATTATTTTTGTACGGCTCAAAATTTTACACATTGATTTAGCTCAAAATATATACAGGTTTTCAATATTTTCTTTTCACAACAACTAATCGATGAATTAAGGGACAGTCGGAACATCAAGGGCTTTGCCCTGATATACAAGCAGTCTTGTTTTTCAATTGTCTCGGAATTTTGAGGGATCTATGTGAGAAACGGCTTCCCCTTTCAGCTCTGAATTCTTATTGGTTGTTTTCGGGGCATGGATTTAGGGGATAAAGCTCAAAGACCAAATCGCACCTTTAAACGGCCGTTATTGCATTTCAGGAGAAAATCTGACCCTTCATTCGAAAAAACTTTGGACCCTCCCAAAATATAGATGAAAGCGTTATGTCCGTCGCTCGGTCCTTTTACCATGAGTAACTCTGAATTTCAACCAATTTTGAATGTAGCAAAAACAACAAACAAATTCTGAAAAAAATGAAGTTTCGTGACATTTTTTTTTAATTAAAATTTTCATGTAAAGTCATTAAAATGTTTAAGAAAAACAACTCGGATCTAGAGAAAATGTCATCAAATTTGAACAAAAAAATCTTCGCTGTTCAAGAGTTCGATCTGTTCACATCCGGGAGGATCTTCTGAAGGGCCGTTGGTTTGTTGTTAAAAAATCATTGGATCCTTTGGTGTTTGATTTAAGTACCAGTTGTAGAACGACCACATACGATTTTGACAAAAATAAACACGGTAAGTATACAAAATTAATCATTTGTTTTCAGGCTTCACTGGCAAAAAAAGATATGAAATTAAAGGGTTTTTACAATTTTTAAAGGATTGTTAATTAACAATCTGCGGATTTTGCGATTTGCAGAAAATCTAGCGAAAACTATCCGGCCTGTCTAAGCTTAATCAATTTCTTTTATTTCCCCACATTCCACAATGAGTTGCCTCGTTGATTGAAGCTCTTTTTTGCTACTCAAGGTCGTTTTTTTTGTTTCTAGAGCTTTTACGTGGTATTATTTATGCAGCCGCAATTTGTCAGGTTGTGTTATACCTGAAGCTAGAAGTCAAGTGAGAGCTCATCATCGCACACTTTTAATTCCATGGCAAGTGTTCGAGTACACGATCTGAAGATCTCAAATTAAACGCTTTACTCCACAATGCTAAATGGCACAGATAGCATTAGGAATTATTGAAGTCTGGTCTCAACGATTTTCTTGAGAAATTCTGGCTTATTATCAAACGTCCTGTAGTCATTAGAATTTTTTTTTGTTCAAATATAATCAAAACAAACGATGCAAATGAAAAAGTGACACAAATTGCTAGAAAAATACTGCTTAAGGCGCATTTTTTACTCATATTTTTCAGATTTAATCCACATTTAACTATACAGTTCAACATTTTTTTATACGAATGTTAATTTGCATGGAAGAAAACCAAAAAAAAATTGCAACTCTAGTTTGATTCACTCAATTTTTTGGGACTGAAACGCTTTTATTAAAAACTTAACTAAAAATCTAGTTGATAAAAAAATTGCAGCTCTCTTTCAAATGCCTGATGTTTCTGTCATCTTGTTATGATTTAAAAAAAACGGTATAAATGCTTCAGGCTGGTATATCAACGTCAATACAACGGTTTGCTACAAACTCTTTTACATTTGGAACGAATGTACAAAATACTCTCTCAAGGCATACACAACCCCAAAATCAGCTTCAAACGCACAGGGCTCTTTTATAGCTGATTTGAACGACCAAGGCCCTGAGAACTCACCAACAAGCTACCACTTTCTGCGTTTAGATGAAGACTTTGCAGTGGTATATTTTTGCAGAATGTTGAATGAGTCAATGCTTGAAATGGCATTCGTTTTATCCAGGTAAGCAATCTAGCTCAAAGAACTCTGTCCACTTTTGTTGAGAATTGAATTAACCTAACAAAAAATGGAAAGTAAATAATTTTATCGTTGTTTTCTAAGGCGAACGGTCATGTCTCAAGTAAAAACCAAAAAAAAATCAATATGGCGATTATTAACCCTTTACTACTTATGCATAATCGCTAGGTGCAAATAAAAGTCAAATTATAACCCAAGTACTGGTTTTGTAATAATTAAATAGCATTTCAACTAAAGAACATACGTGACACTTCAATCTAAACTTAGTTTTTCGACAGGTTTTTTTCATGGATTGAAATTCCTAGAAATATTTCATTAGAAGAAGCTTTCAAAGTAAAGAAATATCAAACTTCCTTGCAAAATTGGTAAAAACCGTATTTTCGAAAATTTCATCAATTTTTTTTCGTTATGATGAAGTGTCCCTTTATAGGTCACGAAATCCAGATTTGGCTGACATAAAGAAAATGGAGAGGATTTTGATTTATAATGGACTGGACATGGAAATGATTGATGTCATCAACTCGAACTGCCCTTTGAACGACGAAGATGAAGATGACACTGAACCTGAAGCAAAAGTGTTATATAAAAATCAGTACTACAACTTATAATTCAGCGAAATTTATGTATGTGTAATCAATTTTATTTACAAAATGTTGCAACAACACACAGTTAAATTGAAGTTATTAATTATTTCGCTGTATTTCGGTTGTTGACTGTCATTTAAAGGTCAAAAGAAAAAATCACAATAAGAAACATCTCTTTGTTTTGAAATTTTCAACTAGTTTTTCAACAAAACTTTTTTTCATTCGGATTATTAAAGCTCCATTTTGACACGAGCGGTTTTTTATTCTCTTTGTTCCACTTTTTGAAAAAAAGGGCTATATCGTTTTTTTTTTAAATTTTCTGCACATTTTCAACAAAACAATTTTTAGACATTAAAGGGCAGACTGATCAAAAGGGCTCCATCTTGACACAACTTTTGAGTTTTTTTTTCTTCTAATCAATTTTGCTGCTCAAATTTTTAACTCGTTGGTTAAATCCAATGATCATTTTAGAATCAGATCAAAAAAATCGACAATCTGTGTATTGAGTTGGAAAAATGTTTCACCTCTCACAGTTCTGATAGGTACCGAGAAACCACACATTTCTATTGGGCAATATATTTAATTATATGAGTCGTTTTTTGCCATTTAATTAATTTCGCTTAACGTAGGGTCTGCAAAAAGTAGGGTCACTGTTTCTATAAATATACGTTCTTGTCATTTTTTGTCAAATCTTACTCAAAAACTTATAAGGATAGCCGATTTCTGAGCAGTTAGCACAGAAAGCTCCGATTACATTTAAAAAATTGTTTAAAAAAGGTTTAGCAACAAATATATATTATTTAATTTGAAATATACTACTTAATTTGAAAGAAATAAAAAAAGGTTAGTGTTTCCATAAATATACATTCCTGACATTTTTGACAAAACTAACACAAAAATCTATAAGGTTAGACGATTAAACAATAGATGATTTAAAAAACAATCAATCTTATAACAACCGAACATCCGAATCAAAGCAAAATCAAAGTAAAATTTAACCACATCATTTGACAGAAAAACTAATTTTTCTCGACCCAAAGAAATATATCAGATGGCTTTTAAAGCATGGCAGTCCATTTTATACTTTCGTAATTCACTCGTTCTATTTTGGTGACTATACTGTATTTTGCGCGCTGAACAAAAAAACTAAAACACACCCGAAGACAAGTTTTTTGTCCACTCTTCATGGTCGCAGCAAAAGAGTCAAATCTGCCTCCTGGGAATATTTTGCGACATCAGTTACTGCCAGACCGTAATTTAAAAACTTGCATTTCTAATTAAGTCTTTCAAATGCGCCATTTTTTTCTAAAATTGGATTTTGCCTGGATTTTGTGGATTTTGTGATAAATTGGATCAATCAAGGATTTAGCAGAGCCATAAAAACTACCAAAATTTACAAGATCGAAGTTTTTTTTAAGATTACGATGTCAAACTGTGTCTTTTTTGAGTTTTAGGCGAATTCTGTAGAAAGGCCGCTTTCATGTATCTTTTGTTTCCTTTGATTGTGCCTACAAACTTTTGACAAGTTCAACTACTGATCTCTGGATTCCAGGACCTACGACACACTAGTTTGAACGCCTATCCAGTGCGCAGTTTGGCCTCTTAATGATAAATTTATAAATATCCAGCCCATTGGCCTTTAAAAATGTCTGCGAAAACCATTGTTAAACGTCGTTGTAAATTATTAAACTCAAGTGAATCATTTGAGGAAAAGGTTGATATACAACTTTTTGATCAAATAATTAATTGTTTTTCAAATTTTTCTCTCTTAGTGAACAAACTATTGAAGGCTACATAAAAACAGTGAAATCTTGGCAAGAAAAGAATATAAATCAAGAACATAAAACTTCCACGACTTACTTTTGCGCCGTTGATTTTGATGAGTTATAAAATAACTAAGCTTAGAAAAGACACACCAACTTAGAAACAAAAACTTCACTTTCTGCATGTTTTTTTTCTGAAATCATCTATTCAAGTATTGGAAAAATTTGTTGTACAGTTAGTTGCAGATACAGCTAAGAAGCTAAAGTTGAAAATTGATCGGACAAAGCGTTCAAACATACAGAAAAAAACTTGAAACATCAAAAAGGATTTTCATAACGAACGTTCTGATAACCCAGATGCTGACAAAAAAATGTAGATTACAGCCAATATGACGACTATCACACAACTTCATATATGGGTAACATTATCGACAAACCAGGGCAAAAGTCAAAAATACAAAAGTCTCCGGACAACCAAGAGAACAAAAAGAAGACGCTTGAGTATCCTATGCAAGTAAGAAAACAAAGTTATGTTCGAGCAAGTGCTCGTGGCAGAAAAACTAATGGTCGAAATTATCCGCTCACAACTTTGTGCTCAAAAATCTGAAATACGAAAGGTGTCATTTTGGATATTTTTTTTTTAGATTTTGTTTGTTTTAGAAATTTTTGTCTTTCATTAAAGTCTATGTAAATCATCTAAAATCTATAGGTGAAAAATCAACAAAATACTTCAATTTAAAGATAGGTCTCAAAATATATCTTAATATCTAGTTGATTTTAAAAATAATTGTTTGGTAATTAATCAAATTCTTTTATTTTCTTCAAAACCCATTGTCAATGGCCTGAAATGTTCATATTCTAGGAGCCCTCATTGGTTATTGGTCGTAGATCTGGACAATGCTCACCTTGAAACCGTGGAGCAAATGAAAAAAAAACAGTTCTCATTCAAAGCTCAAGAAAAAACGGAAAAAGAAACGACATGGTAGACATTAAAAATTATCAAAACGATCGTCGATTGATTTGATAGTTTCGTTTGAAGCTTTTCTGCTTTTATTGATTGGGTTTAATCACACTTTCGATAATATAATTTACTGGAGATTAGACAAGAGTATTTGAACTGCAAAAAAAACTAATTCCTGCATTGGATTTACATGGATAGAATTGATTGTATTCAAGTTTTCATAGTCAGTCAGTATCAAAATAATCGATCATAATAGATTTCAACTTAAGTATTTTGCTTCTATTTTATAAAGCAGAAAAAGTTGGTTTATTATCAGGCCACAAATTCTGCTGCTGTATAGAGCTAATTTTGCTGCTTCATAAAAAAATTCAACTTTTTCTGCTCTATGAAAATTTTCATTGATCGTGCATCTATTTCAAAAATAAACATTTCAAAAAATTTTTAAAAAAAAACTTGGAAAACGAAGAGAGCATTTTCAGGAAATAAAACAGTAGATGCAGTAGAAATGCGGATAGATGCATTTTTTGTCTTTCTGAGAAATAGAGCAGTTTTTGCGAAAAGTTGAGTCAACTAGAGCATAGATGCGTTCTTGGTGATATGAGAAAAAAAATACAACATTCATTTTACGATTTTGAAAGGAATGTGGAGAAAAATCATTAGTTCTGCCGTTATGATTAAGATACTGTTCTATCTGCTGCTCTAAAAAATATTCTATTTATAAACCGAGTGCCACCAACTTTGCCAAATTCTTTGTTAGCAGGATCCTTTGGGGCCTGGCTTATAAGGTTCGTGTGCTTAGTCCAAACAAACTCTAATATTCACGTTAAATTTAATTTGTACCCGTACCGAATGTTTTTTTTCTGATCTGAAATACTTTAGATCTAATTTTATTTTCTGGTCAAAACTTTTTATGAATCATTTGGAGAAAACAGGAAATTTCTCAAAATTTTTCATTTCTCATATTTCTTCAGATCAAAAATAAGCTAAATTTGGGCTAATTCTAGCTAGAAAAAAGTATCCTGGTGCGGCTCTAACCCCGCTACCTGTTATTGATATACGGTTTTGCTAACCGCTAGACCACATGATCAGATACTTTCGGATAGTAACAATCTAGTGCAAAGCAACACTATTAACAGTAAAAAGTCAGCAAAGCAACACTATTAAGTTGCTTTGTTTTGCTACGTTTATTGTGTGTACGCGAACAGTTTTATCTCGTTGCGGTTCAGCTGATTTCTGATTATTTATTTCCAGAAATTGTTTAATTTTAACCTAAGAAAATAAATAGATCTATTATTCTTTTTTCAGCAGAACATATTAATTTTACGTAACCTCTTAGTTCAAAAAACATGTCGAAGAGTAATTACTCCTACATACAATCATACAATCAACTATATAAATTAGACTGAACGTGGAACCAATTATCTAATTATTTATAAATTAAGTTTTTTTGCAATATAAGAAGAGTCTGAACTCTTTAGGCAGTGACATTCAGAGGCCAAATTGTGTATTTTGTGTTTTAAGCGGATTCCGCAACAAGGATGCTCCAAAATCTTAGGAATTACATAATTTGTATTTCACATTTTTGTACAATTTAAGTGTTCCGTAGACACAAAAGATTTCCCGACCTTTCAATTTTCAAGCAGTCGAAAGACTTGAGAAAATCAGTTTTTATTTTCAATAGCTCTGTAGGATGTGTTCTGCTTTTTATTAGTAAATCAAGCTTCCTTTGTAAGGAAGAAACTTTGATTTCTCAGTTAGTGTGCTTATTTATGCTGTTCATTTGGTAAATTTGTAAACTCTGTAAGAAAACTTAGCTAAATATTATATGGGATAACACTATCGACTTGAATAAACTAATTCAAACATTCATGGGTAGCACGTTCATGACATGATACAGTGAATGGATTCCTTATGCCATTTTGGACAAAATGTTGTTAACTTGAGCTGAAAAGTGTTTTTATGTTGTTAAAATGTTGTTAACTTTCGAAACAAAATTGACGTCATCTAGCGTTTTTTAGATCGATCCTGCAATTGTTCTGGAGAGTTTGGCCTATTACCAGACTCTTAACAACTGCATATTGTATAGTTCAATTTGATTAGTTAAAATTGAATGTAAATCATTTACAGAGAGGTTGAAAACTTCTGGTCTGAGAACTGATCCATGTGGCACTCCATATTTCAAGATTTCCTATTCCGATTTTGTATTTGCCAACTTTACTGCCTGTAAACGATTCTTAGAGAAACTTTCGGAAACTTCAGAGCCATTTTTGAGAAACCCATTTGTTTGCTTTTTTTGTAAAAAAAAGTATCGTAAGATACTAAACTAAACACTTTAGCAAGTTAGAAACAAACTTCAGGTATATCTCCATTGCGAACGAAAAAATGTATTGTCTCTATTCACAAAAAAGAAACGTCGATTGAAAGTTTTTCGTTTTGAAAACCAAAACGGATATTGAAGCCTATTTTTTTAAATATTCAGTTGGTCGTGCTAAAATTATTTTATAATAGAGTTCAGCAAAAATTGACGTCAAAGAAATCGGCCGATGAATTTCAGCTACTCCATCATTTTTTCTTTGAAAATCGACGTGACATACGCTTTTTCTCAACGCTTCTGGAAACATATTCGACTAGATGCGTTCATTTATTACGAGCTGTAAGTCTTTACCCGTTGCAATTTTTGAACCGCTAATTTTCCATGAAGGTTGGCTCAGAAGACCAGTAGCTTTATTACTTAGCAAACTATCAAATGACAGAAACAGTTCTTTTCTAGTAAATGGCGTAACTTCATTGGGTTTTTAACGCGGAAAACATTTAAACCTGACAACTGAACAAAATTTTGTTTGTATTTGCCAAATTATGCGAAGGCTAATTTTAACGCTTTTTCTATGTCATACCGATTAGTTAGTTGTTAGCCTGTACAGAAAATACGAGAAAAACGTTTTGGCAGTTAGTGCCGGCTCTAGGTGCAAGAGCTTGGCGTCCGAGAGAAATGTTTGCTTTCACATCACTTCGTTGAGGCCAATACTCGATATTGGATGCGTTTTGTATGAACGGTTGAAAATATTTTTGGGAAAATTACGTTAAGTCAAGATAACCCTAATTCAAGATGCACATAATTTTGCAAGATCGCAAAAAAACTTCTAGTTGGAATCAAATTTCTTATGATTCGTGGAAAAACTAAAACTGCACGCCACGTACTAAGACTACATCTATTAGCGACCCATACATACATACAACCCGCTAGCTGAGACAACAAAAAAACGAGCGGCTTTTAGGTTTCATTGTAATTTTAGTTTCATTCTACGATTCGCTCTAGTAAATAATTAAGCATTCGAAAATATTAGAAAAAAGATTTTCAGGCCAAATCAAGCTTAAAAAGGACGCTTTGCTAAAGATTACTAGATTAATGCCTAGCTTCAAACCTAAACTCATAGTTTGTCAAAAAGGAGGTCCAGCGGGGACTCCAATTTCTGACCTTTGAAGTCGTAAGCGGGCAATTTCGCAATTTAGTGAACCAAGACACGAAAATATTTCGGTTAAATAATTAAAAATAGTCATTTTCTCACACAATTTAAGAAAAATTATTCGGTGGGAAAAACTCAATATTTTGTTCCGCCTAATAACATGTCAAGTCCTCATTTTCTAATAGCTAATTTGCATAGTTCATTCGTTTTGACGGTCGAAGTTTCAAGTACTATCACGAAGGTTTCCATGCTCAACGAAAAACAAATACTCTTTTCGTTTTCAAACTTTTTCAAAAATACTTCTGAAAAAGAAACATTCTACTAAATAAACTTCTATTATCAACAAAATAGACAAGTAAGACAGACTAATCACGATTATCTCTCTGGTATATACTTGTTTGTAAAATATAAACGCTAAAATTGTGCCTTGCACTTGATTTACCTGGTTCGAGGATTTATTACTCTACTGCGGTTAGAAACAAAATATAAAAATGAAAATTGAGTCTTGAAAAATGAAAAACAATCTTGCAAGATAAAGATAATCTTGCAAGATCTTGCAAGATCAACAAAATTTGCAATAATCTTGCACAAAATCTTGCAAGATAACAATTGGCTATGGATGTGTATTTTAAGAGAAAAGCGGGTACCTAAAAAACGCATTTTTCCAAAAACGCCCTGAAAACGCCTTGAAAACGCCTTTTGGGCATGTTTTTTGAAAAATTGAACTAAAAACTGAATTGGTCGAAAAAATTTCATGATAAAGATTTGGAGAGCTCAGAGAATTAATTTGATTGTTTGAAAGAAAAAAGAGAATAAAGGCAGTGAGAGTTTTCAAATAGTTTTTGAACCCCTTCCCCCCACTTCGGGAAAAACCTAGATTAACGCCTGTGTAATTTAAAAGACTTTACAAGAACCTGAAAAAATTAAATGTGCAAAACAAAAAAAAATGCAATATTTCTTAAATGAAAGCTTCTGAGACAGAGTGCCATGATAAGGGGAATAAAAAAATTCTTCTTACGCGTATGAGATCCAAAAGACTGAAAAATTTCAGTAGTGCGACAAACTATGCTGAAAACATGGTTTTTAAACCATAAAGGATGACCTGCATTTTGTGAACACACTTGAAACTTGTCAAAGGGCAGCTTTAAATAATTGCGCGCAAATAAAAACTAAAAAAAATATTTATTATGACCCTAAGCGGGTTTCAAACCCCCTTAATTTAAGTTAAGACCAAAAAAAACAACTCAATCAGTTAGTTTGGCGTGTTAGCCTTCCAAAAAATGTAATTGGATTTTTCCGTGAGTTTTAAAATGAGTTTTGCCATAAATTAGCCGTGATTTTGACAATGATGGTAAATTACTTCAATTTTGCTGCTTTTTTGGCACTGTTACCATTCAAAAATCATCGAGTCAAGACAAAAAGCGACTCGTTTAGTTAGGTATAGCGGCTTTCAAATTTACCTAATCCGAAATTCGAAACTTTATTCACTTAAAAAACTCTTTTTTGCAATAGCCGCACTCAATATGCAAACCAGTAAAACTTCATTATACCAAATGCTCTGCGGCTTCTTAAGGTTGTTGCCAGAAAGGATATCAAAAGCTTTCCTAAAAATGGAAGTACAGCAATGGAAAGAACTGGCAATCTAACAGTTATGAAAAATCTGATCATGAGCACACCAGACAAAGAAATTTGGGTAGTAGTTACTTCTGTGTTTAGAGAACATTTATCAAAAAAAACATGGTTGCTCAAAAAAATGAAGAAAAAAAAAGATTTTTGCTCTGACATTGAAGCAAGAGGGCGCAAACAAAAGCGATATAATAGTAAAGACTCATAAAATTTAAACCTCCCTGCAAGTCTGATAATTCAGTTAGGCTTTTGACTAGCAGTTCGCGTTCTGGCGTTGATACTGTTGAGGGTTACTGTACAGTCGAACAGGCCTGGAGGGCATCACATGCTTCCGGGTAAAACTTTTCTTGAATTCATTTGAAGAAGGACACATACGCGCAAATTATATTGCTTCAAACTTACGAAGTTCCCTTAAATATTAAAAACAAAAGTACGAGGGAGAAGCTTCCCCATATGAAAGTTCAAAAAAATGCAGAAAACAAAAGCTACCTTATATTCTCTCGAAACTGCGTTTTTTGGGATAGGAAAACTGCGTTTTTTCAAAATTTTTCAGCCAATAACATTTATTTGCGAACTGTTTTAGCATTTTACCCTTACTATAGCACTTTTTTTTCTTGAAATAAAATTATTTATTTTTGATTTGTGTTGCGATTTTGTGGTTGAATCAGAAAGTTAAGAGTAACTCATCAAGTAAAAAAGACGTACCAGCATTAGGAAAAAGTGAAAGTAAAATTGAAGTATTTGCTTTATTTTTAGCAAAAAATTTCCCCGTGAGCTGGATTGCCTTTTAGCGACGTCTGAGTCCAGATAAAGCAAAATAAATCAAAATGATCTTTTTCGCTTTCCAAATAAATTTGGATGTTTCGCGATTGCGCCAATATATCTAGTTTTTTATCAGAAAAACATTTAAAAAACCTCTTCTGCGAACGGTTAATCACATACTGAAAAAAAAATGAAATAAAAAACAAAAACAGAAGTCAAAATTTGTCATCCAGGAAGTTTTTTTTAAGTTCTTCAGCCAAACCGCTCGAGCGATGACTCAAAAAAAGTTCTGTTCGGTTTTTCCGTTCCGTTTATAAAGAAAGTTTTTTCGTTCCATTTCTATTAAGCAGAAACATTGGCGAAAGATTTTTTCTATGATAATGTATCAGTTGGATTTCTCTTGATATACGGTGTTTAATTTCAACCGACATTCAGCCAGGTCAAAATCAAAACTGGGCTCATAATCGATCAAAATCTGACCGATGATTTGGTTTGTTCAAAGTTGTACGAGTTTTTACTGAAGATCCTAGCTTCGAACTTTACTTTTTGTACATGGCACCATTATGAGATGATTTGACATTTGGTTGTCATGTTTGCACTAAGTTTGGACTTTCAAGGTGAAAAGTAAATTGCAAGATGCTATTAATAGAATTCAAAAGCTATGATTGATCCATGGACCAGTTTAGTTTATCTAACTTTCGACTATTTAGGCTCAAAAAGAAGAAACGAAAACTTAACTTCCAAAGTTTTCGAATTGTTGAAATACAATTTATTTTTCACTTTCTGAATTTTTTGTTATTTATAGTTATACTTAACCAAGTACTGGGATGAAAATTTTACTATACTTGTTTTCTGGTCTAGTACACAGCTGTTTCGGAACCTCTTTTATCACCAAGTTTCCGTTAGAGCCGTCAAGAACTACACACAACTCATGTCCCAAGAAAGTGGAGAGAATTTGATAGAGATTTGTCCACCGAGAGCTAATTTGGGTCCCAATTTCATTCCAGATGGCCCAATTGTTACAAAAGTTCAAAAATTTCTGGTGGAAATTTTCAAGTTTTCAAACGGCCGATATAGTCATATACAATCTCTTTCAGCCGTGATATGATTTCGAAGCATTGTTGTCTCAGTGCTGAGAAAAACTGAATCTTTTAGTTACCAAAATTTAGAACAAACATCAGAAAAAAATGGAAATAAATGTTGTCGGAACAATCGGTTCACTTTTACTTCAACTTGTTGCGTTTTTCATGTCAAAACTGGGTTTGAGAATTTTTTCCTTAAGGGGAATCAAATTTTGGCCAAGTATTTTTTCGAAATAATACAAAAACTCTCTTCACTGTTCAAGAGTTCGACCTGCTCACATCCGGGAGGTTTTTTTGAATAGCAGGTGGTTTGTTGTTAAAAAATCACTAGAACCACTGGCTTCCGGTCACAAAACCAGCTGCAGAACAACCAGATACGATTTGGATCAAAATGAACACGGTATGTCTTTGTTGTTTATTAAGTTAAAGCTAAAGTGTATCAAAATAACCAAAACTAAGGCAGTAACCAAGAGCTCACGTTGATGGGTTTTTGTGGATGCTTTGAGCTCATTAGTCTAAAGCCAGACATATATCATCAGCCGCTGATTCAGGTCGAGATAACGTCTTTATAGTGATTTACTGATTTAGAGGCGGTCAGAAAATCAATTTGGTCGCCTAAAAATGTCGACAAAGTTTTCGACATGTTTTTGAAAACCGCCCGGGAAAATCATAGATCCACCAAGGTATATCATCCCACTTTGCATTGAAGCTACCAACTTTGAAAAATTAGAATGAATGGGAGTTTTTTGAGGGAACGAGCTGGCAGATACATGAGCGTTTTGAAGACTATTTTAGAATCTCCCATAGAAGCGCTACGCCAATGACAGGTTTCTGTTACCCTAAAATCCAAGCAAAAATTATTCAGGAAAAAAAAACAGGTTATTAGTGCCCACCCTATGAATGGTATTAAGAAACTTGGTTTCATTTTCATTTTCATTTTCATTTTCATTTTCATTTTCATTTTCATTTTCCTCAAAACTTTTGCATTGCAACTATAATTTATTAAAATGAGCTAAGTCTTCCGTTTTTGGATGTTTTTGGAATTATTATGGGTCATTTGAAGTTTGTTTAACCGAAGCACGCTCTTCCTTCAAGTATTGGCGTCCAATGCTGCCTTTGATAAATATCTATATTTCCTGTCCAAATCGGATTCTAAGATATAGTGGCAAAGATTAGTGTCTTGGAAAAAGGTGGGTCGAACTCCAAAATGGGGCAATAAATTTCAGACCCCTTCAAAATGATTGTTCCATAGTGGGTACCGTTACAATAATTATGATCTTAAAATGTACAAATTCATTTTTATTTCTGTTTACTAAAACCGCATTAAATTTCAAATGCTTAAAAAACTGATCCATGAGCTTGCATAATTTCTTTGGATTAAAAAAAAAGGTCGTTAGGCTTGAAAAATTTTTGTGCCCGTCCGATTTTTTTCAGAACTGTTTTAGGGTGGTTTATCAACGTCAAAACAACCGTTTGCTTCGAGTTCCTCAGTTTTTGGAACGAATGTGCCGAATATTCTCTCAAAGCCTACACAAGCTGGAAGGCATATTCAGAAGCAATGGGCTCTCTTATAGCAGATGTGTACAACAAGGGCCCAAAAGGCCAACACACAAACTATCATTTTCTGCACTTAGATGAACACTTTGCAGTGGTATACTTCTGCACTATGTTAGATGGGTCAATGATGCAAACTGCTTTAGTTCTATCCAGGCAAGGATTTTAAAATTTTCTGATTTGACTCCAGTTTTTCAGATAATTTCTAATAGCTTGTCGGATAGGTAAAGTATAATAGGTAATAAAGGTTTTTTCATATTTATATGACCTATTTTTAGTAACAGCGCTAAAAAGTTCAATTTTTTTTGGTGTTTACCAAAAATTGAAAACAAAATATTAGTTAATTTTTTGTTTTCAATTTTTGATAAATACTAAAAATAAATTAAACTTTTTATCGCTGTTACCAAAAATAGGTCACATAAATTTGAAAAAACTTTTATTACTTATTATACTTTATCTATCCGACAAGCTATCAAAACTATTCCAATGTCGAAGTGTCGTAATATTGGAAATGGCTTTTGAAAAATGCATATGCCAGTTTTTCTTGGTGACGAAGTATATCCCCCCTTTATAGGTCACAAAATCCAGATTTGGCTGACATAAAGAAAATGGAGAAAATTTTGACATACAATGGACTGGACATAGAAATGATTGATGTCGTTAACTCGAAATGTCCTTCAGCAAAAGATGACCACGAAGATTATGAAAACGAAGATGAATTTAGTTCTGAAGACGAATACTAATAAAAAATTAGCCCTACAACTAAACTTCAGGATTTTTTGGACTCGCTTTTTGAAATCTAATGAATTTATGAATCAAAATCATTATGAAAGTTTCAAAAAATATATGCTTATTGGATGTTTATCATCACTTATTGATCAAAGAGCTGCTGACTGCACGATCGTTTGAAACGGTAGCAAATCTACAGTGCTGATTTAAATTATCTGAACAAAACGAATATATCTTTGAATTTAAACGCTTTTTTCTCAAACTGCGTTGACTTTAGAGAAAAATGATGAGACAATGCTTGCTCAGAAATTCTGCCATGTTATTATGATTCAATTAATTTTGCAAAATTCGTGCCTCGATTTTATCATTTTTTAGTTAATCAAAGATTACATCAAAACTAAAGTATCGGTACTGAGATGCGAACTTCAACGCACATAAATTTTTTTCTACGTTTTAAGCTAAAACGTTGGTTACGTTTGTTACTTGTTGTTCAATCTAATTTTTTTCTGCCTATCTCTGATATTTTTGTTACTTTTTTATGTTACACAAAAACTGAATATTGTTCCTTTCAACAATTTTGTTAAATTATTAGAAACTTTTTCTTTTGGGGGGGGGGGGGGGGGGTAAAGTTGGAGGTGAACTAATCCCCCTTCGATAACCCCCTTAGCGTTTGCCCATTTACAACAAACCCCCCAGGGGGTGGGTTCAGGTGGGGGAGGGTGCGGGTTCAGGTGGGGGAGGGTGGGGGTTCAGGTGGGGGAGGGGGTGGGTTCAGTGGGGGGAGGGGTGTTCAGTGTTCAGGTGGGGAGTTGTTCAGGAGGGGGAGGGGTGTTTTAGCTAAGGGCAAATGTTAGGGGCAAATGTTAGGCGCCTTGAAGGGGAGCAAAAGTGGCAAACGTTAGGGGGGGGGGAAGAGTTTAACGGAATCCTTTTGCAATTTGAATTTAGGTTTAGAAATGGATTAGGCCGTACACTCGCTTTGCAAAGTTTCAGCATGACTCACTTGACAAATGCAGAAACTCTTGCAAAATTTTTCACGACGCTCGAAACATAAATAAAGTGGGAAAAAAACATTTTAATGTGATTTCCTACTCATTATAAAATCCATTATAATGGATTCCAGATGAATTATAATGCATTTTGTTTTGGCGAGAAAAAATGGATATAAATCCATTTTTAGTCCAATTTTGTTGTCTGTACGTAAAATGGGAATCGATTATATTTGCAACATTTTAGACCACGAAAATTCATTATAATCGATTTATTTTCACTTTATCTAAATGCGGGTACTATATTTCAGATTTATAGGTTTTGTCATCGGGTTGGAATATTTGTTATAAGATAATTTGTATCAGCTCTGTAGGAGACGAGTTGGCGAGGGGTGGACATTTCGATCAGAAATTTGATCGAAGAGGGTCCCTTTTATTTTTTGACACTCATTATAGAACGGATTTTTTTTGCGCTAAAATATATCATCTTGAGGGGAAAGTACGTGCAGAAAAACCGTGACATTTTCCTGCAAACTTTCCAAAAGGTGCCTATGAAATGATGCGGAAAAATATACCACAAAAGAGGGTCTGTGGAATGTTCTGAGAAAGCTCGGAAAAAAATTTGCTTGGCCTTGAGAAAGCTCGGGAAAAGCTCGGAAAAAACCAAAATTTTGGGAAAAATGACTTTGGAATCCCCCCCACCGAGAACTTGATTCCCAAAAGATTCTTATACTCCGAAATAAGTTTGAAAGACCAAAAATAGCTGATGCGATCCTTTTTCAAACTCTGATTTTCGGTTGTTTGTTCAATTTATCAAAATTTGCAGATTCAAACATTGCTAATTTGTAATCTACTTGAAAAGTGGGTAATTATTAAGTAAAATCAAATTTTTAAAGCAAATACTCATACGAGCATTCTGCATTTATGTTTCTTATTACATTTCTGTTGCATACGCTAAGGCAGTGGCTTCCCTCATGCTTGAAGGACCGAATGCTTGAATATAATTCAAAATCTCAAAGTAAATCACAAAAATCTCAAAGTAAAAAAAAAACCAGGCCATCAGTGTTAATATTGACCGATTAGATATTCAACAGATGAGTTTTCAATACTGAAAAACTCTTATGATTTTGAACTCAATAATCTTGATGATTATCTGAATAGTAATGCAATTTTAACCCGCTATTTGTAATATTTTCGATTTTTTTTCCACTGATTTAATACATTTTCTGTTAAAATTGACAGCGATTTTAAGAGAAAGGCATTTAGCCAATAGGAACGCTTAGCAATTTTGATTGGCTGAAATTTTTCAAGCATTCGGCTCTTCAAGCATGAGAACCCTCCCCTATTAAGGCAATCTCCGCAGGTGGGTATTCAGAAGTACAAAATGATAAATCAGTCCCATTTGTACCAAAATAAAAAATCAATCGCGTTTGTACCAAAAACATTCAATTTGCCTAAGACTATTAAGACGACTACTTTAAGCTCTTGGTTTAAGGTCGCCGGTGGGGGCGCTACGCGCGCGTCGCCGCTTCGCGGCAATAACCGGCTCTAATTTTTGTATAGAGTCCTGCCCTCTGTTGGCAAGCTCGCGACACGTAGGCGCGACTGCGGCGGTCACTATTCTGCTGTTTAGTTTTCTTCTGTTTGAACAGTAGACAATTAATGTAATAATTCGTTGGCCCACAATTCGAACAATCAGAAACCGAGTTTAATAATTTTGATACAAATGGGACCGATTTTTCATTTTGGTACAAATGAACGGTGGTACAAATGAGACTTCACCTCTCCGCAATTCTACGTTATAAGAAAACCATCTGCTTGAATTTTAGCTCGACTTTATTAGAACGCACGGCTTCGAAGTTACAATTGAGTGATTTATTTAAAAAGCTTACAACTGAATGAACAACGAAAAATGTTTGTGTAACAAAGTTCGAAAGTAAACTAGAACTCTAACTGAAAACTTTACCAATTTTTTTTGGTCAAAAAATGGATGAAAATCTTGGCGAATATGTCAATCCCGAAATTGTGAACGAAGAAATGAAAGAAAGGAAAACGAACGAGTTGATTCATTTAAATCAACCTGTTATGAAATCTACAAATGAGGCACCAATGTCTAAATATCACGAAAGCGGCGACAAACAAGGAAGCTATGGCGGTCCCGACTATGAGACTTATCCCATATTTGATGAGCCGAAGGAATTGTACGTCGATTATAGTCAATATGATTTGTACAGTAGAGCTGGCCCTGACTATGTCGAGACCGCTGACAGAATTGACGAAAGGAGTTCGAAAACCCAACAAAAGGGAAAGCTGTCATCACGTGACAAGGCAAAAAAGGCACCGAAAGAAAAAATGCCGGATTTGGAAAAAGAAGGAGAAGAAGATCTCCAGAAAAAAGACGATCAGTATCAACCAATCTCACCAGTAGTGTATTCAGGTAAAATAATTATAGATTAATAACATATGAAAGAACTTGTTAAGTGCAATTAGACTTATTAGCTGTTCGTTTTTAAGTTAGACTTATTTGATTTTCTGTGTTCCTAGTAGCAACAAAATGTCATCTTTTACAGGGGTTCTAAAATTTTTGTTTGCAGCCCAGTTTCTGAGAAAATCTGTCACAAGACATTTTCGGACACTTTTTTGAAAGTGTCACCAAAGCATCTCTGTAGCTCACATTCTTCACTGAAACTTTAAAATTAAATTTCCGCCAATAATCCTTTTTGAAAAAACTTAGGATCGATCAAAAATTAAAATTAACTTGAAGTTGTACAAAAACTCGATCGAGGACTATTTGGATATTAAGGGAGTCTACTGCTGAAAACGAAACTTCATCCCCCTCTCCCTCCCCTTTTAAGCCTGCCTAGATTCGCCATGAGTTACATGAGAAATTGCAGTATGAAACAAGGATAGCACGTTATTGTGCAAGTAGCACAGAATGTTCCGAAAATAGTCTTAAAAAATACAACAAAAAGGCTTTTTCAAAGGTTTTTTCAAACAAGTGGTCATTTTTTCGGCGTGGTGTAAAAAGAGGATCTGACAGAAAACTACAGCTTTCTTGAACAGTCATAGAAAAATAAGCAAATTGGAAAAAAAATTGTTGAAACTTGGTTAAAACAAACAAATTTCAAAAAACTATTTTCAATTGTTTTTGTAGTTTTTTTTTGAAATTTTGAAGTTTTTGACTCCAAAAATCCGCTGAAAATCTCGAAAAAACTAAGTTTATTTGAGTAAAATTTAGTTTATATGGCTTAAATTAAGCTATTTTAAGCTTCTAAGACATCAAAATAAGAAGCTATTGTAAGCCTGCTCGCTCGCTTTATTCGCTCAATTAAGATGAAAAACCAAAATATTCTTGCTTGAAATTTTTTATTTTCGTTGGAATCATGACTGAAAAGGCTTTAAATTGATATATCACCCAACTCTCTCCGATGATCATTTGTGGTAGCTGATGAAGCAAATCTCAGTAAAACAAAAAATTGATTTCCTTTCGGTTTTGGGGTAGATCGGTTTCGTGTAGCTTCGGTTTCATACGTAAATTAACCGTAACTATCGGAAACTGCAAGTCAACAAAGAATAATGAATTGCCATAATTTCCGGTATTTAAAAGCAGGATTCAATGTCATAAAATTCGCAAAATGAAAAAATTGATAAATCAATTTTAAAACAATGCCTGATAAACTTGTGAACTTTGTTTCGATTTTTCAGTTTTCGATTTTTCTCATGAGAAAAGTAGAAAACTGAAAGAACGCACTGCTCTTCGTTCACCATAAAATTCATTAGTTACGACCTTGGTTTTTCTCGCTAAGAACTCTAGCGAGAACACTATGATACTTATTAAACAGGGCTGAAAACGCACTTCATAATCAAATTCCTGTCTTTTAGATCCGTCAAACATCGACAGCACAACTCCACCTGTTTACGTGGAGGCGGGAGAAAAAATGGGAGAGAATGCCGAGCATTTGAAACCCAAGAGAGAGTCCCCAAAGAGAAAATGGGTTCTGCTATACAAGATATCAAAAAGAGCTTATTATACTTTGATGATATCGTTTGGTGCTTTCCTGTTGTTAGCAGTCGCGCTCTTGCTTTCCTTGTCAATTAATTTCATGACGGGTGACTAATTACAATTCGCGGAGTTCTATCTCTAAAAACTAAATCAAACAGTATGTATCCAATAACTAAATCATTAAGCATCCAACCCATGATTGACACTACAACCCACGATCTCTAAAAACTAAATCAAAAAGTATGTATCCAGAAACTAACTTGACAGACTGGAGTGAATAACTAATTTGTAAAAACAGAATTGCATAAAAATGCTGAATAAAAATGAAGTTTCAATATTTGTAGCAGCTAGTATTCTGAGGTCGGAAGTTGCTATTAGTGTTGGTCAGTTTGTTCCGATACGTTGAGTTCAATGATGAACTCAATTTATAGAAAAATGGCAAAATGAGCCCATTTTAACAAAACAGAAAAATAATGAGCCCAATTGATTCTAGCACCTTAGCTTTTGAGATTGTCTTCATATTCGACGTGGAAGTTCGATTCTTGAACATGCTGCAACTTATTTGGCGCCCTTATCTTTGATACAATGGAACAATCAGAAAAATAATCTAGGTGAATGGAAAAAAAGCAGGCAACACAGACGATTTAGGAACGCAGAGATAGGGTTCGATTCTCGCGCGGCGCCCATTATTTGTAATTGATATTCTGTGCTGTTCCAAATCACTGTAGAGATTTTTTTTGTCTCTGCTGCCGTAATTTTTTTTAATTTTGCTCAAAAATTGCTCTTCTTCGAAGGTCGTTTTCCCCTAGAGTTTAGTGGATATTGGCACACATAGAAAATTTTAGTCAACCAAAAATTGTAGTCAACCAAAAATGAATGTCGTAAAATAGTACCAAAGGGGGGGGGGGGCTTTTTGGAAACGTTTGGTAACCAGAATTGAGGACCACTCTACTCTTTGCCACGCTACTGGCTTTGAGTTGATCCCATTTATAATTTCCAAATTACCATTAAAAGACACAAACAAATCCACTTTTTTTCTAAAAACATAGGCTCAAATTGGGCTCCATTGGGGTAAGTTTTGATGGCATTCGAAATGAAGACTCGACCTATAAACTGGGCTCATTTCTAAGCTCAAGACTATCAGATAAAATCATAAACAATAAACACACCTTCTCAAAAATGTCAGATGAAATCTTTAAAATGAAACAAATAGCTTGGTGATCGAACTCAATTAATCGAGACGGTTCACAATATTTTCATTTTCAAAGATTTTTCAAAACTTCTAGGACGTCTCGTCAAGAGTGCCGCTTGTGACTCAAGCTTCGATTTCAAAATAGTTTTTAGGTACTATAAAAAGCTATTTTCGTCTAGTTTATTGCAACAGAGTGGGCACACAAAAAGGTAGCTGCGCAAAATTTTTTTTTTACTGTGCTTCCTCCGATAATAATAGTTCCGTGTTTTCTGAAGACTTATCACAACATGCGTGAGAAAAATGTGACAACTATAACATGGACAAAGACCCAAAAAATCGGTTCTCAAACTGGTGTTGCAGAAACCTCAGAAGCTTCAACATGTACGCGTTCACGCAAGGAAGTCATTCCAATGGACTCCTCACCCAGATAACTTGGTTTTGGAAGTTTTTATTAAGATCATTTATCCACGAGGGATAGGACCAACATACGAGCTGTACAGTTCATCACGGCAAACCGCTGTTGTGCCCCTGCTTAAGTGAAATACGAAATTTAAAAACAAAGAAGTCTTTGTCTTTGCCTCATTTATCGTTAGACACTAAACGAAATAATCTATACTATGATCTATATAATCTGTACTATACTGCACGGTTATATTATAGTTACAACAAACACTAATAGTTTCGACCTTTCAAGAAATTGATGGAATTTTTGTGCTCAGGGTTTTTTGGACAAAATTTGATTTTCAACTAGCCGTTTTTGACCGCCGTTTTTGACCACCGTTTTTATACCACTGTCTTGGGCTCAATTTCAAAAGAAATAAATTTCACTTGTGGTCATTTTTTCTAACAAGTTTGGGAATTTGGAAGATTTCCATTATGGCCAATTTGGGACAATTAACGCGGGATATATTTTGCGCTAAAAAAGCGATGATTTAATCCGTTTCAGTATTCGTTTCTTATTGGTTGAATCAGTTTTTTGTCATAATTGCTACGTTTGTACTAGCAAAGTCTTTCACTTTGTATTTTACAAAGTGCGAGAGGTAATTTTGAAAAAAAAATCTCACAAAATTTCCAAATTTTTTCAGTTTTTTTTTTTTAAATTTATTCATTTTTTAAACAATACCCGCTCTTTAGACCTCGAAAGCCAGTCAAAACATTCAGAGCTTTAACTTGATACGAACAGTAAGCAATGTCGTTCCCTTTTGCAAATGCTTACCCACTCCCAATTCAGTATGATTGTAAAGAAAAATTGGTGATGGTAGTTGCATTTGTAAAAGCAATATTAATATCAAGATAAGTTGGAATACTTTGTGAGCCGTATTACACTAGGTGTTGACAAAAATTGAGAATTTCGAACGGACTATTTCTTAAATTTTTATAATTTCACAAAAAATGTAACAGGTAAAATATCTCAAAATGCCTTGTTGAAAGTTCTCCGACTAAACAAAACAAAGATCACAAGATCACAACTACTCTGTCACTCTCAGAACATTTTTTGTATAGTTGAGAAGTTTTTTTCACCTTTTCCCGCTCATATCAGGATAGAGTTGACGCATAGAAAGTTTAGCTCGAAATCAATCGCACACTGAGCGGAAATTTTCCATTTTTCTTATTTCACAGTTATTTTGTTAGATTCTGTATTTTCACTGTTAGTTCTCAGACTTTTTTGTGCTTCTACTTTTTTATCGAGCAAATTCATTAATGTAGGACTTTCTGGCTAAAAATTTGAAGAAATCAATGACAAAAAATAGAAATCTATAACTTTTTGATGTGCCAAAGAAGCTCATAGAACTTTTTTTTAGTTTGCAATAGAGCTTCACTTGCTTAAGTTTTTATCGTTGACTTCAACTTGGTTATCTGACTAATTTAAGGTTCACACTCTCAAAATTTTGTGAATAGCTTTCATTAGTTTGTAACACAAAACGTAAGGCTGATCAACACGTTCCATGTTAACATGTCAAATAGAGAAATCCTATTTTATTCTTTTACTGGTAATAGAGAATAATGAAAACTCGAATAAACATAGATTCGACGCAAATTTTTGACAAAACACTTCTACTACAACAAAAGCCAGATGTAGCTAAAACGTACTAAATCTTTTTTGACATGTAATTGTGTTTACAAAGAAACGGAAAAAATGTACGTACGTTGAAAAAATCTAATTCAATTATTTTTGCCCTCAGGTCTCATTATTTTTTAAAATTGGTCTCGGAGATTTTGATAAAATTAGCACTCATTTTGATATAATCCCGTTGTCATGAGGCGACCTTCGGTACCTCATTCTATTCTATTTATTTATGTATGACTTATTTAACTATGTATTAATTATCTACTTATAAGGCAGTAAATTGATTCAAGGACAAATCTCACCAGCCAAATCGTTTGTCACTTGAGAACCTCAAGCGGTGACTTGCGAAAGCCTTATGTGTGAAATCTAGTCGATAAAAACATTCTTGTTATTCGAAACAATACCTTCAATCTGGAATCGTTATTCATATATACATTATTCTGTTCTATCTATTTATGTATCATATTTAATTCAATATTCAATTTTTACAATCCTGTTTTCCCTACTCCAACTGAGGGAAATCTCATGGCGCAGCCAGCAGTTCCTGTGAATGAAGACAGGACTGACCTACTCGGAATACCACCCTTTTGGGCGAAAATATCGGTTAACCCACCTTTCATTTGGGAGACTTGGGTGGGACAGTTTTTTTTGGCCGCTAGTCTCAAAGACAATATTCCACCGGGGGATGTACTAGTTGCCCCAGCAGAGTTGGTGGATAAACCTCACCCGAAGCCTGAAGCACCGGGGACTGATGAAAGTGCAGCAGATGTAACCAATAGGAACCTCCGAGTTCCAGCAGCTAATAGAAGAATCGATGAGTACAATCAAGAGAGGAGAAGGAAAGGAACTCGCATTGGACATAACTGGTGTTACCATGAGGCAGAGGCGCGTTTGAAATCGCGACTTTTCTTCGCACTGGGAAATGAGCGAAAAAAAACAATTTTTGGATTCTTACCTTCACCTGGACCTCAATAATAGCTCTTTCATTGATTTTCACAAGTGCTGCGAAGATCTTTTCAAGGCAGAGCGGGACTACAAGTCGAAAGGATTAAATTGTATAATACATTTTTTATGCAGGATAATGACTCATTCTCATCATTTTATGCCCGAATTAGCGCTCAAACTGCGCTGTGTAATTGGCCGATCGATCAGGAAAGAGAGACGTTGAAAGACTTGCTCATTGGCCGCATTCGCGATGTGGAGGTTCAGAGGCAATTAATCAGAGCAAAAGCTAATCTTGAAGATACTTTACAACTGGCATTGGAGAATGAGAAAAGGGCTAAAACATCAGAACAATTTCAAAAATTGCTCCCGCATAACAACGCTTCTTCCAATACTACCAGCTCTATTCGAGTCAAGCAGGAACCAACTTCGTCAGTACAACAATTCAAGAATCAAGGAAATAGAAGCCGGGGAGGAGGTGTAAACCGTCCTAACCAACGACAAAATCAAAATAAATCATGTTATTTTTGCGGTATCCCGTTTTCTCTTGAACATCGCCGGTCGTGCCCGGCCAGAGAAGCTACTTGCAATGCTTGCAAAACGAAGGGTCATTTTGCTAAGGTGTGTAACACTACAAAACGACGCGTTAACATGGTACAAAATGAAGAGATGTCTTCAGATCAAGAGTGCAATTTAATTGACGTAAATGGTGAGAGCGAGCCGGAAAATGCTCCGAAATTCTCGAAAATAGAGGCCATCAAATCCCTGTTGCCACCAAAAACCCTTAAGCAGTTAAAATCGTTTATGGGGACCCTCAATCACCTTCAACGTTTCATTCCGGATTTGCACAAATATACAGTTACATTCAAAGCTTCGTTAAAAGCGGAGAATAAGAAATCATTTTTGTGGGGTGAATAGCAAGACTTTGCGTTTCAGAAAATTTTAAACCTCATCGCAAACATTCCTAATTTGTTTCATGCTTCGAAAGCTTCGCGAGTTAAATGTGATGCAAGTCACAGCGGGCTGTGCGCTTGCTTGGAACAAGAAGGGGAACCAACTATTTGGGCACCGATTGCGTTTGCTTCTAGGTTTCTCAACTCCGCGGAAATCAAGTATAGTACCAATGAGTTAGAGC